AAGTTTTTACAGAGCTGTTGCGTAGATAGATATAATTCACATTAAAGTGACATTCTGAAACATAACTGACAATTGTGAGACGTCAGGCCATCAAAAGTCACCTTAAGGCTGTATTTGCAATTTTGCAGCTATCCCAGCGACCATGAAAGCACACCACTTCATCACAAGATAAATTCAATGGTTTACGAGTTCTATTCCGGTAATTGAAAACAGGCAAGGTATAGACTGGACGGAATAGCTGATCATTAAAATTAGGCTTAGACAGATGCTAAGATAGTCGTAAGAATGTTAGCTGGATACAACTATCATTAAGAAGCTTCAAAATCTAGCCCTGGAAGATAAAAAGCAATGTCACATGACCTTTTTGTTTCAAAAACATTACTTTTCAGTACGTCCTTCAGCATGTTCAGACACATGTAATTTATTTTAACCAGGACATTAGGACAGGGAGGATACACTATGTCACGATACGATACATATCGCGATATTTTACCTGCAATACGATACGTATCACGATACATACACCTTGAAAGAATGACACGGTATCAACATTTAAAATGATTTATTTCAAGGTATTTGTGATTAACAATAACACTGTTGTAATAAATTTACAACTCACTCCATCATACTTGCGTATTTTTCTCTAAATAAGTAACTCTAATAATACTGTAACAATGTTTAAGATAATACGCTTTTGAAAAAAAGTTGTGTATCATTTTGTATCGATACACCAGTCCACGATACAATAGCTGTATCAAACTTAAATGAATCGCGATGCATCGATGCATCGGTGAATCGTCCCTGCCATACAGGACAGTGAGCTTCCTACTATCTTGGGGACACAAGTGGCCCAATTGTTAAAGCGCTATGCAGACAGTGTTCAAAATAGCTACTGGCCTGTTAGCGAAATGCTAGCTGATTGTGAAACAGGCCAGTAATGTATCGTTCAAGCTATCCCTACTGGCAAGCCGAAAATCTCAGACAATTGGTTCTTTTTTGAATGGATATGAATATGATGAAGTCAATTATTAAGAGTGAGTGTGTGAGTTTAGTTTTACGCCGCACTCAGCAATATTCCAGCTATATGGCGGCAGTCAAATAATCGAGTCTGGACCTGACAATCCAGTGATCAACAGCATGAGCATCGATCTGCACAATGGGGAACCGATGACACGTGTCAACCAAGTCAGCGAGCCTGACCACCTGGCCACGACCAATCCTGTTAGTCGCCTCTTCATGTTAAAAGCATGGGTTACTGAAGATTCATTCTAAGGTGACCCAGACCTTCACAGATGTCCATTTGGGACTCAATAATTAAGATGTTAAAAGTCTGTCCCCAAACATTTTGATGCGGATATTTATTATCTCTTGTCACCAAAGATCGCTATAAAACAAATGTTAACAGCGCTCCAGTGATCATCGGAATGAGTGAGAGGTGACAACTTTACCATGGTGGGGAATCAATTTGTCAGGCCATGTGGGGAATAGGTCTTCGCCTAGAACCAGTAGTAGGCTATCCCAAGCATTTTCAACACAGCTTGTGTCAAGTACGCAAGATTTCTACATCAGAGCAATCCTGTTTTGCATGTTTAAAGCAGATCTAAACCCAACTCACTCATTCTCACTGTGTCATTTGTTCTCCAACACAAGGTGGGGTAGCCTAGTGGTTAAGGCGTTCGGTTGTCACGCCGAAGACTCGGGTTCGATTCCCCAAATGGGTACAATGTGTGAAGCCCATTTCTGGTGTCCCCCGCCGTGATATTGCTGGAATATTGCTAAAAGCGGCGTAAAACCAAACTCACTCACTCTAACACAAGGTGAGTAAATATTGCTTTTAGCCGCATCAGCAATTTTGCAGCTATTTGCGGCTGCTAGCACAAGGATATCTGAACACTTCTTCCCAGGATCTTGTTTCAAAAAAAGGTCGAAATTAGTGGATGCTACTATGCTAAATGCATTTAAAAATTCATAATAGCATTCAATTTTTTAATAAAGGCTGACATTTTTAGCGTCCCATGTTTTTGTTGATTTATATAAAAAAATTGTGAAAATGGTCGTCTAAAAACATTGTCATGCTCAGTTTGGAGCTACTTCCCCATATTCATTGACGACAATTAACAAAGTATTCCGAATATAAATTCAAGGAACTTAATCAATGCTTAGTACAACATCAGGATTTTCCAATTCAATGATGGCGGACCTTAGCAACCGCATGCAATTTTGTCAAATTTGGCATTTATGATCGAACATTATTACAAATAATATGATAACAAACTACTTAAAACGGAAGCGTGAAGGGGAAAGTGGTGAGGAATCAGGGATAAGGAATCATTTTTATGTTTTAGCTTATTGAAATTTCATTTAGCTTGTAGCTTAAAAAGTTACAAGCAGTCTTTTGCTTGTGCTTTGAAAAGTTAAGTTCTAACCCCGTAAGAGTTGACAAATCACAACAAATTAGTTTTTACCCAGATGTGACAGTTACAATATATAGATTCTTTCACCAGGAATGTGAAATGAACATACCAAACACTCAGTTTTAACCACAACGGAATTTCTCTGTAAGGCTAGACCAATTTCATTTCTTATTTTACTGATCCACCATTCCTATTTTTTAAGAATTTGAAAAAAAAAATAATTAAATTTTCCCCACTCAAAAAATTCTAATGTTTTTATTGGCCAAAAATGTAAACTTACATGACAATTTTTTTTAGATTGTTTCTCGCCCCATATACATGAATTGCCAAAAGTATAATACTTTTAGTATTTACAAGGAATATTACTTTGACGAGTGATTTTTTTAATAGATTTTTTTCCCTCCTCCTGCCTTTAGGATTTCGGAAGACGAAAATCCGTAAAACAAAAACTAAAATTGGTCTGGCCTAAAAGATGTTTTTACAAATGAGCCTGTTAGGACAGGCAAAAAATTGAGAAATGGTCGCCTAAAAACATTGTCATGCTCAGTTTGGAGCTACTTCCCCATATTCATTGACGACAATTAACAAAGTATTCCGAATATAAATTCAAGGAACTTATAGCCAATCAATGCTTAGTACAACATCAGGATTTTCCAATTCAATGATGGCGGACCTTAGCAACCGCATGCAATTTTGTCAAATTTGGCATTTATGATCGAACATTATTACAAATAATATGATAACAAACTACTTAAAACGGAAGCGTGAAGGGGAAAGTGGTGAGGAATCAGGGATAAGGAATCATTTTTATGTTTTTGCTTATTGAAATTTCATTTAGCTTGTAGCTTAAAAAGTTACAAGCAGTCTTTTGCTTGTGCTTTGAAAAGTTAAGTTCTAACCCCGCAAGAGTTGACAAATCACAACAAATTAGGTTTTACCCAGATGTGACAGTTACAATATATAGATTCTTTCACCAGGAATGTGAAATGAACATACCAAACAGTCAGTTTTAACCACAACGGAATTTCTCTGTAAGGCCAGACCAATTTTATTTCTTGCTTTACGGATCTGCAAGTCATATTTTCTCAAGAATAAAAAAAATAATTTTTTTACATTTTCCCCATTCCCCAAACAAATTTCTAATGTTTTTATTGGCCAAAAATGTAAACTTACATGACAATTTTTATTAGATTGTTTCTTGCCCCATCTACACTTTATAAATTGCCAAAAGTAAAATACTTTTAGTATTTAAAAGGAATATTTCTTTGACAAGTGATTTTTTCAATAGATTTTTTTTTTTTCCTCCTGCCTTTAGGATTTCGGGAGACGAAAATCGGTAAAACAAAAATTAAAATTGGTCTGGCCTAAAGATGTTTTGCAAATGAGTCTGTGAGGACAGGCAATACGTTATCTTGAAGTGAAGTTAATTTCAACCATTACATTATTTCACAGTGGGACTGAAGAACAAATGTTACGGATGTTTTGACAAACGCTATTTGCCCATCACTTCCCTGCTAAACAGGTCTTTTTCAAACGTACCTAGTTATCTTGTAAATTAAAATTGAGAATTTTTTTATATTTTTTTTTGTTTGTATATCTTCTAACCATGGTAAAGCCATGCTACAGTGGTCACATATAACAGCAGTGATTTCGGGGGAATTTTAGACAATGGGTTAGTCACATTTTCCCCCATGAAATTAAAGAGATTGACACAAAGTTCAAATAGACAATGAGCCTTTCTGTTTTTCCCAACATTTTTTCTGGGGGAGTCCATTTGCATGTTAAGTAGAAGCAGCAAGATGATTAACAAAATGCTACTCCTGGTTCAAAAGCAGCTTCACATATATATGTGACCATTGCATTAGAATTTTGGAGTCATTTTTTTTATGACCAGCTGATTATGAAAGAAAAGGCATACAGCTGATAATACTGATTGCTCATTTATATATTTTACAATACTAGGCTCGTGAGAAATGGCAGAGGTTGAGAGATTCTAACTGAAATTGTAAATAATCAAAATATGACATCCATTGATGTTTTATGAAAAATGTTCAATTCCAGACCACACCCAAAGGTCAAAAAAGATTGTACTTGTTGTTTTTCTCCCTGAGTGAGTTTAGTTTTACGCAGCACTCAGCAATATTCCAGCTATTTGGCGGCGTTCTGAAAATAATCAAGTCTGGACCAGACAATCCAGTGATCATCAGCATGAGCATCGATCTGCACAATTGGGAACCGATGACATGTGTCAAACCGGTCAGTGAGCCTGACCACGCGATCCTGTTAGTCGCCTCTTACGACAAGCATGGGTTACTGAAGGTTCATTCTAACCCGGACCTTCACAGGTTTTTTCTCCCTGATATTATGCACAAAAGACAAAAGCGACATAAAGTACAAGCTCGCCCTCATACACACGCACGTTCGCACAACGTCAGTCATCATGACCTTATATGATGTATAGTACCATCGTGAGGCACTGCAATACCAAGCATTCTGTAAGACCAAACACAAGAACACTCTCAACATGGACATTAGTATATATGATGCTTCGACCTGTAACCATGGTAACTCAGTCACTTTACTCACCCAGGACTCAAGTCCTCAAGACGTTCCTCGATGTCTGTGTTTCTGTCTGCCATGGTTGACTTGATTCTGTTTGGATGCTTAACACTTTTGCCTGCAAAGAAGAATGGACACGTGAATGATGTGAATGACGTGAATGATGTGAATGACGTGAATCTTGTGAATTATATGAGTGATGTGAATGACATGAATGTTGTGAATTATGTGAATGACATGAATGACGTGAATGACATGAATGACATGAATGTTGTGCATGACGTGAATGACGTGAATGATGTGAATAACGTGAATGTTGAGAATTATGTGAATGACGTGAATTATGTGAACGACGTAAATGATGTGAATTATGTGAATGACGTGAATGTTGTGAATTATGTGAATGACATGAATGACGTGAATGTTGTGAATGACGTGTATGTTGTGAATGACATGAATGTTGTGAATTATGTGAATGACATGAATTATGTGAATGACATGAATGACATGTATGTTGTGAATGACATGAATGTTGTGAATTATGTGAATAATGTGAATGACGTGAATGTTGTGAATGATGTGAATAATGTGAATGTTGTGAATTATGTGAATGATGTGAATTATGTGAATGCTGTAATTATGTGAATGTTGTGAATTATGTGAATGAAATGAATGACGTGAATGATGTGAATGACGTGAATGTTTATCCCCAGTCATCAACTTCCACGTAACATCAATCGTGGATATACCATGAGTTTTCATAAAGTGTTAAAATGCAACAAACACTATATTCGGGAATATATTTTCGCAGTAATATACAGATTCTGGTAACTTTCAGTATGTGTCCCGTTGAGTTCCAACAAACAAAAGGAGCCCCAGTGAGAAGGGAAATTCAGAACCTAAGGAAATCAAGACTTGCTTCATTTACGGCTTTAGCACTGCAGAAAGAGCTAGGCAGAAGGGAGTGAGTTTAGTTTTACGCAGCACTCAGCAACATTCCAACTATATGGCGGAGATCTGTAAACAATCAAGTCTTTACCAGACAATCCAGTGATCAACAGCATGAGCATCAATCTATGTAATCGGGATATGATATGTGTCAACCAAGTCAGTGAGCCTGACCACGCGATCCCGTTAGTTGCCTCTTACGACAAGCACGGGTTACTGAAGGCCAGACTTGTAGTAACAATAAAGAACATAAAAACTTTGGTTTTGGTGTAGTTTTTAAGTCTTTCAAGATTCTCATGCATGAATTGGCAACATGGATCCATCGAGTGAAGAAGAGATGCTAGCGTTCACGACATATATATCAGTCACTAACAAGAATACTAAATCCACCATTCTGGAGTGGACACAGATCTAAGCGATTTGATTGGTTGGGAGGCTCTGATGTGTCGTAGGACTTATTACTAATTATTAAGTTCTATGCAGTGGCGGATACAGCTTTTGAGAAAGGGGGATGCACAGTTTATTTTCACCCATTTTCATGAGAGTCATTTCACCCGTGAAGGTGCGGGTTAGAATATTGGCCTTCAATAACCCATGCTTGTCGTAAGAGGCAACTAACAGGATCGGGTGGTCAGGCATGCTGACTTGGTTGACGCAAGTCTTCGGTTCCCAATTGCGCAAATCGATGCTCATGCTGTTGATCACTGGATTGTCTGGTCCAGACTCGATTATTTACAGACCACCGCCATATAGCTGGAATATTGCTGAGTGCTGCGTAAAACTAAACTCACTCACTCACTTGTTTCAGTAGAGTGAGTGAGTGAGTATGGTTTAACGCTGCTTTTAGCAATATTCCAGCAACATCATGACAGGGGGACACCAGAAATTGGCTTCACACATTGTACCCATGAGAGGAATTGAACCCTGGCCTTTGGTGTGACGAGTGAACACTTTAACCACTAGGCTACCCCTTATCCCTGTTTCAGTAGACAAATATAACTCTTAGTCATTTGGCACATTTGACCAATTTGGTAGTAAACATATTTCCGCACGATTTCCAAAGCTACATCATCCAGTGATATTACATCAATCATTTTATAAATGACATATAATAAAGATATTACGACCCATGTGTGATTTCATATCATAAAAATGTCATATCCATTTGGAATAAACACGTGTCATATTTCTCATTTATGGTTATTTGACATACAGAGATGAATTATCTTTATTAAAAGCTCTCAGAATACAATTATCTTTCCTATATGAAATTTATGAGATAAAAACAAACTGAATTCTCAAATTATACAATTATTTTTCCTGTATGAAATTTATTATACAAAAACAAGTCTCATAATGCAATTTTATTTTTCTACATGAAATTCATGATTATTATTTCAAAAACTAACTGTTCTCACATTACACTTAATATTCCAATATATTCATGATACAGAAACACACCTGTGAAATAGATACAATGAACCACTATGAGGCTAGTGTGATATATATTATGCAGGGAACATTTTTATGTGATCTGACGAGGGCTCTTGGCCCATGCAGTTTGACATCTGAGGCTGTGAACACATTCCCCATCTTTTCATGATGATTTCGAGACTTTACGACGGGGTTCATTTTAAGTTCTCCATGCTGATTCACTATTGCAGTGAGTGAGTGAATTTAGTTTTATGCTGCTTTTAGCATTATTCCAGCAATATCATGGCGGGGGACACCAGAAATAGGCTTCACACATTGTAGCTTCACACATTGTATCTTCATGTGGGGAATCTAACCACAAGGCTACACCACTGCCCCAACTATCACATTGAGTGAGTAGGTTTAGTTTAACGCCGCTTTTAGCATTATTCCAGCAATATCACGGCTGGGGACACCAGAAAGAGGCTTCACACATTGTACCCATGTGGGGAATCTAACCCAGGTCTTCAGAGTGATGTGTGAAGCCCATTTCTGGTGATATTGCTGGAATATTGCTAAAAGCAGCATAAAACTAAACTCACTCATTCAGTCACTCAGAGTGACGAAGTGACGATTTAACCACAAGGCTACCTCAGCGCCCCGATACACTATCACAGACATGCCTGTTGGTTACAAATGCCACCCTCCAGAGCAGGAAACCACATGCAGCGCAACTTGAGAACCTTTACTGTTACCAGAAATGTCCATTTCTATAAATACGAAGTCATTACCTTAAGCACATAACAGCCAAAGTACCACATCAACAAATCAAAATCTAATTACACAATTTCACAGTGTAATACTATCTGGTATTAGGTTTGTAATCTATTTGAACAATTTTATCAAAAATATCATTTCACATTGTTTACAATTAATTTGTGAGTGAAGTTGTCGACAGTGCACTTACTCACCATTACTCTACAGCATCAACGGTCTGATGACTGCTATCACTGCCTTGAACCACCTGACTTTATTCCACAAAAAATGGTGGCATGTATCATAAATGCCTCACTTTTGACTCGTTCCAAGTAATATTTGTTGAAATGTGACTGTAATATGTCAACCTGACCTTTGCGCAATGGTGAGCAAAGGGGCCTTGTCAGGGCTTGCCAAATAGTTCCATCCGTAAAAAAATATACTCTTCAAAATAGGTAGGGGAACCCAGGGCTCCAGATAAGATTTAGCTCATGTGGGTACTGTACCCACTGTATTTTTAAGGAGTGGGTATTATGAATGTTGAGTGGGTATTTCATTTTCCGTTACCCACTGCTTTCAAATATGTGCATATTTCAGTCATTTTACCCACCTAAGTATTATGTCATTGAGTAAGTTTACTAAGCAGGTATGTTCTGCCTTATGTCATACCTAATCAAAACCAACTTAAATATAATGGAAATTATTTCATAAAAAATCACTCATCCTATACTGACAGTACAACACTTGTCCTATACTAACAGTACAACTTGATAGCAATCGATGTCTTTTCATTACGTAAGCGATTTTTATAAATATATTCCGTACGAATTTGTTTTAAACTTTTAGCGCATCTAACACTTTAAATGCGTATATTGGTACGCAACAATTATTTTGTCAATCCGTAATTGGAAATTTTCTATGCGTATTTTACCCGGATACGCAGCTTATCTGGGCCTCTGGGAACTTGAACTTTCAATTTGGATAGGAAGTATAAGCGTTTACAAACTTTTCAAAGACAGACATCTTATGAACGCACCACCATTTCTCTTTATCACCACCCTATACACAACACAGTAGCTTCATACACATGCATGGAGTGTCATTAATAATTTGACGGTTTTCAAGAAGGTCGATAAATCACTGTAGACCATTTAGTTTGACAATCATCTTGCATCACAGTTGTTAGTGTTTGTTTCTAGCTGTTTTTTTAGTTTGAAAATAGTACACAAACAAATTTTACGCCATACACCAATCATCTTTCAAGAGCAATTACTGTCCAAACAATGGTCATAAGGAAGTGCAAGTGGTGATGCACTCTCAAAATATTCATTAACATCTTATCAACATTGATTGACTCCGAGATATCTCCCAGTTTTTTCAGTCATAAATTATAATGAAGTTCCCCTACTTTTTATAGTTCCATTTAATAGGTCCATCCGTTAAAAAATATATGACAATAGCTTTCAGCTGTACCAAAGTGCTACACGCCATATAATTTCAATACATTCATTAAACTTTGTGACTAAAATAACACAATACTGGGATATATTATCCCTGCAAAAATAATAGTTTCAGACATAATTCTTCCAATCATAGCTTCAAAATTGTTTTAAGTTATTTTATTGGGTATATTTTAAACAACTCAAATCAGATTTGGAGGAAGCATGAGCACAGCTGATTGCAATTTCCGACTTAGCTTCCCGAGAAAATATACATGGTAATTTTAATACCTGCATTTAAAACAATGCCCAGGAGAACAGGAGATATGCTTTAAATTCCAAAACTTTATGCATATGGTGGTGATGTTGTTTTCTCAAATTTTATTTCTTAATTGACCAAAATTGTTAAAACATGTTCGTTCATACATGAATTCACTGACGGAATAAACGTAGTAATAGGCGCATTAAGCTTGGTTGCGATAATACAGCATATCTAATGTGCGTGCGTTATGCCCATCGTTGCATCATGGGAATTCGAGGAGTACTGAAGGATGCATTGTGGGATAATGTAGGTCAAAAGCGTATCATAAGGAAGGTTATGCAGAGTTATATTCTCGCTTATCCTAACAAACCTTAAGAAGGAAATGGTTGATCGAGTAGTCTGCTCTTCTTGTGTCATAAACACAGTTATACTAATGTAAATATTATATAATATTTATGAAGGCCCAGGTGTCATTGAGCCATTTTTGATAATAATGTGTCAGTATTCATATTTCAGTATATTTCAGTACATGCACAGTCAATCCGACTTCCATTTATCTGACAATCGGCTTTATATGACACTTTTGTCGGTTGAATCAATGCAGTTTAGTCTTGTTTACCCGACAGTACAGCGTTCTGACTCTGACAGGATCAATTAACAACCAACTGTCGTAATCACACAGTACGGTAATTAGTCTGACATTGAGATTAGCAACGTGTGTGATCAATTACCTGTGAATACACTGCCACGTGTCACTCAAGATGTTGTGATACGTTAAGAGCAATGAGGATTATGAACACAGTGAGTTATACCATTCAGGAATTGTTTAAAATAACAAATACTTAAAGGTATGAAAAGATAAAGGAAAATATTATGAAGCTAGGTAAAGGTCACTATACCTGTCAACAAAGGACAGTAAAATAACTAGAATATCACAGATTTTTAAATATAAAACAACTAAGTACCGAACTATAGATCACCAGCAACTGGAGGTAGATCATTATACTAGTGAGTGAGTATGGTTTTACGCCATTTTTAGAAAAATATCACGGCGGTGGACACCAGAATTGGGCTTCACACATTGTGCACATGTAGGGATTCGAACCTGGGTCTTCAGTGTGACAAGCGAATGCTTTAACCACTAGGCTACCCCACCACCTCGGATCATTACACTTAGGGCCATGGGGGACTTACAGTGCCTTTGCTATCTGCATGGACCCTGGCTGGATTTACTGTCAGATCACACCAATTGTAAACAAATCTATTCATAAATTAAAATAGCATATACTCCATGATTAAAGAAAGTAGTAAGTCTAAACTAAGTTTGAATGTTTTGGGATTTACGTACCCGCTCAGGAGGATAATAATTTTACAATACTTTAACCCCCTTTGAGGACACAGCCTCTAACAATCTCAGTTGATAAATAAATGTACCAGTTATCATAAAGATGACAGAATACTGAAAAATGTAACAATATATTTAGCACTTTACCAACAATTTGACTGTAACATCTGTTCATGGCGGTCAACGGCTTTCTACAAATACCACATCACCACAGAATCCCTCACGCTAATACATCACTTCTGACTAAACATTATATTTTTGTATCTCTGAGAGAGCTGGATAATATTTCCCTACCTACTCAGGTAACCGCATAATCTTTGAAAGATCTACAGAGACACAGATGAGCAAATATTTATGTGAAAACTCATTTCTCATTAAGTCTATTGCGTACAAGTACGCTTTATTTTTGTAAATACTCAATAAATGTGATCTTACATGCGTATACACAAAAATGTCAAATCTTAGCTTGCGTACCGGTGGAAAGATAGAATAACTGAGGTTCTATTTCAGGACATGAATTTGACAACTTACAGTCTGTCTTATCATTTCTCATATTACACATCAAATATTAATAACAAGCAAACATTTAAAGTTAAACTCCATTATATTTTTTAAATTAATGGAAAATGGTAAAATACCCAATGGAGTTTGAGTGAGGTGAGTACAATTTATTTGGTTATTCAAAGGACTGACTGACTGAGTTTAGTTTTACGCCGCTTTTAGCAATATTCCAGCAATATCACGGCGGGGGACACCAGAAATGGGCTTAACACATTGTGCCCATGTGGGGAATCGAACCCGGGTCTTCGGCGTGACGAGCCAACGCTTTAACCACTAGGCTACCCCACAGCCCCGGTTATTCAAAGGAAAATTAGGATACCCAATTGAGATGAACACAAGCGCATACATAACTCAATGATCCAAAAAGTTATCTGTAGCTCTGGATCTATATTCAAATACTCATGACACAGATGCTTTTATTTGGCTATGGATTAGGTTTAGGTGAGGTGAAATTGGGTTTAACGTCGTGCGTGAGAATATTTCGCTCATATGACGACGTGCATGCGTGTGTATGGGTATGTGCGGCTGCTTGTACTAGCCCAGACTTAAGCTGGTTTTATAGTGCTAGTCCACTGAGATACCATGCCACAGTGAAGCATGAATACCCCACTCAGACACATTATACTGACTCCGAGCTGACCAGTCCTTGTTGTACCCATTAATGCCGAGCGTCAGGCAGGGACCAAAAAGTACCATATTTTAACGTCTTTTGGTATGACGCGGTCGGGGATCGAACCTGCGACCTTCCGCTCACCGGGCGGACGCTCTAACCACTACACCAGGGAGGCGGTCTATGGATTAGGGTATTGTGCAAATGTATCATTGTGTACAGAGGCCCAGACAAGCTGCGTATCCGGGTAAAATATGCATGGAAAAGTTCCAATTACGCTTTGAAATATAATTGTTGCATACCAATTATGCATTTAAAATGTTACATATGCCAAAATTTACAACAAATGCGTATAGAATATATTTATAAAAATCGCTTGCGTAATGAAAAAGACATCGATTGCTATCAAGTTGTACTGATAGTATAGGACTAGTGTTGTACTGTCAGTATAGGATGAGTGATTTTTTTATGAAATCATTTCCATTATATTTAAGTTGGTTTTGATTAGGTATGACATAAGGCAGAACATACCTGCTTAGTAAACTTACTCAATGACATAATACTCAGGTGAATAAAATGACTGAAATACGCACATATTTGAAAGCTGTGGGTACCGGAAAATGAAATACCCACTCAACATTCATAATACCCACTCCAAAAAACATACAGTGGGTACAGTACCCACATGAGCTACATCTTATCTGGAGCTCTGACTGTGTACGCAGTTTTCTTTGGTATTCATTATAACACTCACCCTACTGCCATGACTCCACTCCTCACACTGACGTTGGTGACGAGTACCTCATCATATACTGTTTCATCATGTTCATGTTTGAAACTATTTTCTCACCCTTTGGTCTGCAAAATATAAAAACAAACACTGACAAATCACATGAGTGAGTGAGTTAGTGAGTATGGTTTTTACACCGCTTTTAGCAATATTCCAGCAATATCACGTCAGGGGACACCTGAAATGGGCTTCACACATTGTACCCATGTGGGGAATCGAACCCGGGGTCTTCAGCATGATGAGCCACGCTTTAACCACTTGGCTACCCCACCACACTGACAAGTCACCTGTAGATAATACACAATTAAAGGAATAAATGCATATGTAGAGACCGGCCAAATTATTTCATTGCACTATACATGTTAACATTGTGAATGTGAACTGTGATAGTCTCTAAAGAAATCCCTGAAAAACAACATTTGGCAGTTGTTATTATATTCTCAGATAGGGGAGGGGTAGAAGAAGAGGAATGGGGAGACAGGAGGTGTAATATATATATATATATACTCTCACTGAAGAATACTTGTCATTCAATTGATGTATCCCAAAGCGAGCTGAACTTGACGCTCTGGTGATTTCGACGATTGCATTGCTTGCGCTATATTGGGGGAGTACTGTACATGCGTGGTCGGAGTGCACAAACAGTTTCATCGGTAGGGAGGATGCCCAGTCGCTGTCGTGAAATGTTTTATTGACAATGGAAATCCGGAAGTTAAGTTATATAAAAAACAAACAAACATCAATATTATTTACCATAGATCGTTAATACCACTTCAGATGCAAAATCTATTGCCTATATAACCAAAAAAGCAAGCAAAAATTCAGTAAGATCAGTCGTCTGCTGGTGACAGGCAATATATAAATAGGAAGCCACGTGATCACAACACTCCCTCGCAGTGCGGAGCAAAAAATATGGCTCATTGTCGAAAACCCATACAACATCCCCGGATGTGGACAGCAGTAACAGCTTCGCCGATGCAATGTCATCAAGGCTATTTTTGTAGGAAACACTTGAATTTTTTTTGTGAAAATATCCTTTATCACTCAAGGTTAGTAAAACAAATACATTAAATGATTATTAAAGATAAAAATTACATTTTTGTCTCACATCATTGAAAACCCCTGACCGGGATACTATGCCTAGATTTGAGGTTATCACCTTCCTGTCCAGGTGCAATTACAGAATCTATTTGCCACTAATGAGTGGCAATAAAACAGATCTGTTTTGCATACCTCTTCTATCCATAGGTTTCGTGTCATCATTCCTCTAGCCCCCGTCCCCCTAGTCCCCTGTTGTTACAAGCCACTAATTAGTACCTCTTGCCCCTCGACTGGCTGTTCTGTTTGGTAATGTCGGGATTTGGGTTGGTTACCTAATTCTATTCTAAGCCCTTGAATCCATGAATGAAAACAGTCTAAAGCACATTCTATGTAAACTTTCCTGTATAAAATGAGCACGTTTCAAGATTGAAAAAAACCACCGAATTTAAAAAACACACTCTATTTGCCAATTACTCTCTTGTCTACTGTTGTTATTTTACGCATCTCTCTTATAACGCGCTGGCCTGCTGCTGCGTTCAGTGTACTAGCATAGCATTGAGAACACACCCACTTGCAAGCCAACTGACTCCATTGCACTGACCAAGGTATTTATAGAAAAAATATCACAACGTGGTTTGCAGAAAGTTGATCATCATATTACTCAAAGCAAGTGCCGTGATTCATAGACTGCACGGATTTTGATGACTCACCTTAGACGAGTTACGTCCAAATCAGACAACAAAGTTGGTGATTGAAAGGTTAGTGAAGTCAACCGGAACTTACAAACAGGAAGTCCATTAACAAACGGGCAGTGGGACGCGATCGTATCGCACCGGACTGACTCCGAGTGTTTCACGAAATATGTGCATCGTCACGCCTTACAAATACAACCTGTAGTTATGAATACATATTTTTTCTTTGCAGCGGGATGCTATGAATAATTCATTTCGCACGACACATATAATCAAAATTTGAACTTTTTTATAAGGCCCAGCAACTTACTAGTTCACATAAGGCCACATAAAAATAATTTATTGTTTCTCATTACCGCCCGACCCTAAAATTTGGTCCGACCCTAAATTCTTGTTTCAGTTTTTGCTCAGGTAAATGTGCGTGTATAAAGCCTACAGACTTCCGAAATCCGTCTCAGCTTCCGACATTCCAGTTTACGACTAAGGCTGGATTTACACTACGTCCGCATGTTTTGACGCATGCGTTACCGAGTGCGATTTTTCCAATACACTAGGTGCGATCATTTGCGATATAAGACGGATGAATATAAGATGGAGGAAAAATCCTAGCATCTCTGGCAGTTTCTGTGCATGAGGAAGAGAACAGAACACGGAGATGGTGGGTACATCCCTTAAACCAACAAAGATTACTTGAAGGAGCCTATAATCGTCTTATAAGGGAATTATTAGGGAATTAAATAACATCAATCTTTTATGGGTTTTCGAAATACTGAACCAAAAGTATGCAGAAAATATTTACTTTCATACCAACATTGTTCTCTCATACACTCAGGCATTACAAATTCCACATATATAGAATTTGCGTACTGACTTCCCTGGAGAACATAGTTCTGAGGGTTCTGTTGACCTGAACCAAATTGAGCCTCATGAAATATCTGGGCAATTTTATTTTTCATAAGACTTTTAGAAGCATCTTGAAGTAGTTTGTTCTGAGAATGAAATTTATCAAAGGTTTGTCATATTATTTTATATGTTATGCAGAAACACATTATAAATAATATCTCTTCAAAAACACAGCCTGTCTGCAATTGGAATCGCGTATTCTTATCGAAAGATGAGGAAATAACTTTACCTGATTGTCAACGTGTTTGGGAAATACCTTATTGGAATGACGTCATCAGGGGAATCCCTCATGCGAGTTCATTTGCGTTGCGTCAAAAATAGGAGGCCTACCTATCTAAATCGCTTCGGATCGCAACGCATGCAAAATTCGCACCTAGTGTATTGTCTAAAAGGAAAATGTACTGCTTGTGTTTTTTCGGACGCAACGCACGACGCTACGCAGAGAAAATCGGACGTAGTGTAAATCCAGCCTAACACTATATAGAAATACAGAAAAAAAAAATATTTAAAAAATAAAATATGAAAAAGGTGATGAGATCAAGACATTTATTTTATGTGGCCCAAATAAACTCGTATTCCAGCCAAGGTCTACATCGAACACCTTGGTTACAAGTGCAGAGTCGTCTACTTGGACTAAGCAGTCCCGCGTATGATCGGTTTGAAAATGGATACGTCAAATACGTCCTTGGTCAAACATATTTTCCATGATTGGTTGCTAACGCCGCACTCAGCAATATTCCAGCTATATGGCGGCGGTCTGTAATTAATCGAGTCTGGACCAGACAATCCAGTGATCTTCAGCATTAGCATCGATCTGCGCAATTGGGAACCGATGACACGTGTCAACCAAGTCCCACATTTTACACATGTGGAGAATCGAACCTGATTCTTCGGTTCCTAATGCTACCCCATCGTCACCGTTTAATCTAAGTTGATATGCCGCGAGATCACTGCAAATAATTGTAAATCAAGATTAAATGTCTTGTAAAAATGAGATTTCAAGACATTTACTATTATTCAAAGTTGAGATTTACACATTTACAATTTTGTAAATATGAAATTTACATTTTTGTAATCAAATTTGTTCTTGTGTATGTTTCGAACTAAGATCATGTCAGTCCTAAGTCACTCACTCGCCAGTGCAAGTAAAAGGAACCTGTTTGTTTCGTGCAACCGGAAAACTGCAATGTCGCACCCACCTCGTCAACAAGCAGATTCCATTATCGGAAGGAAATCAAATACCGGACATGTATTCTATACAATCATCTTTGATCAAACCGTGTAATAGCAATTGGGCCAGTTGATCAAAATACATATCATCCTGTCGCCATTGATTTTGACGATATCAGTAATAATAATAATTGTAATAATAAGAACAATAACCAGAGCATTAGTTATAATAATACCGACGATGATAATGATAACAATACTGAAGTTACCATACTGTTCGCATAATTAATATTCAGTCTAGGGATCAATACATACACGTAACATCAATTTCCATGAGTTGTGAAAAATATTTATTTGACCTACAAAAGTATTTATTGATTTATCATCCAAAACTGTGTTCCACAGGAGATATCGCTTGTGTGAGATCAAACGATATCTCCTAGGATATATCGTTTTGACAGTATATTTTGTACAATGCCCTGACAATGCTATGACGTCATGTACTTGATGACGTCACAATGCTATGACATCGCTGCACTGCAAGTCTAATGGCAGTACCATGCTCAGAGATGTACATTTTTCATTGAAAATTAATGAAGAGTGATTTTGGATGATAAATAGAATCTCACCCTCGTGTCTTCTGATATCAAATATATCAACACTCGTTGATAAAGTAAAAATATCCTCGGCAAGCCTCGGATATTTGTAACTTTAACAACTCGTGTTGATATAATTGATATCAGAAGACACTTGGGTGAGATTCTCTATATAACTAGTGCTTTGGAAAATATGATCTTGTTATTAACAAGGCAAAAATGGCGTTGCTTTACCATTATTTTATAACGATATGTGGTATTGAAAACTGGAAACATTACAGACTAACGGACCACGTTCCTCAATCTTAAACCTGCCATGGGTCACATTGACAACGAGCATCGGACATGATCCGGGACCAGTATCTCTAAAGCTTATAGAACCACGGTACAAAACGTTTATCTGTCTTTACGGCTGTTTGTATTCCACGCTGGTCAAATCACGCGCGTGCCACATATGCACGTGGTATACTTCGAAAGTAAATCGAATAAAGTGAAATTAAGATTGCTAATCCTCATAATGTTACCTTGCCAACTGAACATTTAAATATCAGAATTTTATTAAACTTAGGATTAAAGTTGTTTAACAAACGATCATAGTTTCAAATCGTTATTATTGGTTTGTATTACAAGGGTGTAAGCACATTAAATGAAACACCGAGAACAAGT